TCAAATTGCTTCACTCTCTCATTGACTAGTCTTCGTCGTTAGGTTCCGTCTCTAATATATACTTCATGACAGCCGATAATGTGTAAATAAGTACCTTCTAAATTGCATTGCCTGAATAACTAGTTTAAGCTCGTCTATTGCCAGTTGTTCCATCTGAAAACTTGCATCTTCGTCTCGACTCTACGAAATTATATGAATAAGATGTGTATTTAATGCCATGCTTTTGATAAAGAACGCAAAATGGATCAAGGATCAATGGATCAAAGGAGCAGGGATCAGCATGAAAAACGCACTCATATAGCTTACAGAGCAACTRAAACATTAACTTTACCTCAGAATCTGTTCCTGTTGATTCGCTTTCCGAGTCCTGTCGGTAGAAAACAACAACAATTCACTATCAAACACGTTTTTACTCGATGAATGATGCCAATTGATGCAAAGCTTGACGATGAAAACGCGACCATTACCCTGACTAGCCAGTAATCTTCTCCTTGCTCTTCGTACTGTTGGAGCTCCAGCTCCACGCGCGATACAAGTTCTTCTAACGGATGGTTAAACTTTCTTAAAATATTCGGTACACTAAATAAGAAGGAAAGATCTTAGTATTCGGTTACGTCCACGCGACAAATACCTTTATCAAAAAGCGATTGGTTTCCGTGAAAGACCAAGTGAAAGAGACGGTGAGAAAAAGACAGAGATTCTAGTTCCCATGTGGGCAAAACCATTTTTTTCGTCCCCAAATGAATCTACTTTGAGATTTATGTATACTGGTGTTCGTTGTGAAGATGTACGGCTACTTTTGGAGGTGTTTGTTATGGGAAACGTGCTAGAAGTTGGCAGTGATCACTGTGAAGAAGTGTTAAGCTTATAGAGATTTTTTTAGTTGGTATTGATACTATATAACGTGGAGTTCTCATACCTGGAGAGTGGATATAAGGTCACAAAGCTTCGTTGAGTATCTCCATCCATGACACCTCTTACCTCATGTCTATGTAATAAATACACTTATTATTTTACTATAAATTAAAGTCACTCAATTATAAAAACTCGGCGAGGCTTATCCTATGAGGCATTCGACCTTTCCGCTGCGATATCGATCGTAAAATGATGGAACCGATTTCGGAAATGATCGAACCGATTTCGGAAAAGAGTCGAGTATAAGTCGGGTGTTACAGAATTCTTGCTTGCTTACATCGCGACGACATAGTGCATTACTCCATAACGGAGTAACCACAAAAACTGAACTTAATTCAGAGCACTTCAACTTACTTGACAAGCTGATCAATAAGATCACCATCCTCCTCATTTGAAAGAACTAGTTTTGGGACSACCAACTTCTTCTGTCGGAGCTAACAAAGAATGAAAATAAAAAAAAGTTAAAATAAAGAAACTGAGACAAAAGAGAGAAAATAGAAACAAACAAATATATAAGTTACAACAACGCTATAATTCAAAAGGAAAGAAAATGGCAGAATGAAATAGAGAAATAAACAAAAAAATATATGATTATTACCATAGCTCTCAGAACATCACTGTCCCACAGTAAGACTGATATATCTGCACTAGTGACGTAAGGTACTTTGAAGTAGTTAATAACGTGTATGGTACATATGTCAACCAGGTTGATTCTATCAACAGAAACAAAGTCAATCAAATCATTACTATTACAGGTACTAAATTATGATGACGATAGCGAGATGATGTTGAGATTATGACGACACATTGTCAACATATCATCAAGTCCATTACTTACCCATAATAGGTAAGACAAGATAAATGGCAACGTCAGATTTCTGACAAATTTGAGAAGTTTGCCCGCGACATTTACTTKAATTATGACAGTGWACTACTGTTGTTATAATGGCTGCATYTTAACCAGTTACCGTTTAAAGATATACTCCTCTTCCATGTCTTGTTCAATTTCACTGCAGATTTCTTCAATGAAGGCAATGTCATCTTTTGACTCTGCAAAAAAATGAAATAAAATCATTATCAGGTGATACACGAGGTCCAAATAGAAAGGMAGGCATTTGCATCAAARTCCTATACTGTTACTGCCATGAGGACATGAGGACCAATATTACCTTACCTTGATTGCTAGGTGGAATGTCATTCATTTCATCCAAGCTGTGAGTTTATAAAGTACACATYAATGTTAGGAACTTGTCTCAGGTATCAAAATATACTGGTGAGAGAGAGGGGATTGGGAAAAGGTCGAAGAGGAAAGGGAAGAGTCTAGGAATGGTAAAATGGTCTGGGAAAGGAGAGTATGCATTATTGAGGGTCAAATGAATACAAAAAACATACAAACAAACAAACAAACAATATTAAAAAGAACAAATGAAGTTGTACCTGTTTTGAAGTGGATATCCATTGCATACAGGCTCCAGACGAAACGGAAACTCTAGGATTTACAAGTGAAAAATTACTTTCTAAAATCAAAATCAAGTCTTGATTTGATTTGGTTGATTTGCAATATGAAAGCTACTCAAACCTGGTAAAGCACTGGATGCAATTGTTGTAGCAATATGCTGGTTGAACATGTCCTGTCCTTGTCTGGCAGGGGGAAGACCAGGGGGTTTGTTGTCCTTTTCTTTGTCAACCTGAAAGAGCAATTAATGAGCAATAATGAGATAGATCATGAATGAAAAATGAATGAGCAGAAAAAATGAATGGAAGTCGAAATGTTGAGAAACCTGAAAGAGCAATTAATGAGCAATAATGAGATAGATGAATGAAAAAATGAATGAGCAGAACAAATAAATGGAAGTCGAAATGTTGAAAAAGTGCATGAATTCATAAAAAAAAAACAGAATGGAAGCTAGGACATTTATATTACTATAAGAATGGTTATCTACCTTTTCAGTCTCAGTATCTGAATCAAAGAATGGTCTAATAGGTGCTGTAGGACTAACAGGTGAGTCAGGACAGAATACGGCATACCCTTCATCAACCAGCAAATCGTTGATATGGATGTCTTCATTGGATGATGTATCACTTAGACACAAAGAAATCTTGCCATCCTGAAAAGTCATAGCAAATGGATTAAATTGAATAATTAAACTAAGGAATGAATTAATCAACAGCAGACTTTATTTGACAACTTTTTTCTTCATGAATATTTATGATGGTCATATTAATATGCAATAGCACAACAACATCAATGATGATAATTAAACAAAGATGGGATCATAACACAACAACAACAGCAGCAACAATATCAACAATAACAACAACTGCAACAACAACAACAACAATAATAGCAGCAACAGCAGCAACAACAACAGCAACAACTAAAACAATAACAGCAGCAGCAACAACATAAGCAACATCAACAACAACAACAACAACAGCATCAGCAACAGCAGCAACAACAACAGCAACAACATCAACAACAACAACAACAGCAGCAGCAGCAACAGCATTGGTAACAAAAACAACCCTAAGGAGTACAAGTAGTTCATCTTTCATGAAAATTTCCCAGTTGCTTGATGAATGCAGTGAATTTAGCTTACTCTACCTTGACTCCACACAGAAGACCAAACAGAGCCTTGTAATTCTTTGTAAGATGATAAAAACGATGACAACAGCCAGGAGACCACTGAGCCTGGGTACAAGAGAGCTTGTATTAATGCAATGTACTTAACATGCATGCATTACGACTCCACTACTTTCTTAACCATTTTATTTGATCGCAACTACTAGTTTCAAAGAGAAAATTTAACTTTCAATTTCATATTTATCTCTATTTCTAACCTTAACCAAGCTTTTCATTGTTGACTTACTAATATAATGCTGAAATGGTATGCCAAAATTGCATTGCAAATGCATAAAACCAAAGACAAAAATTTACACTGTAAACAATGGAGTACAAATGAATGCATATAGAGGTTTCCAGGTAATAGTGGCATACAAGTTCACCATTGCAGTTCATTTTCCTACCCCTTTTACTGGTTTAATGTAGGCCAACTGCGCCTGACATGCTTGTCCTGGTATTTTSAGAAATGAGGATCTGGAACATTGGAACTACCAGTTAAACTATAATGTGGTTTTTATTGGACAACAGTCATTGAGAATTAATTGAGAATTATTATTAATAATTATTTATTATTATGAACTAATCATTAATTAATCATTAATAATTCTTCATTAATAATTAAATGATCATTAATTAATTATTCATCAAAGTTAATTAAGTATTAATCATCATCAATTATTAATCATTGTTAAGTAATACCTTAGTACTCGGAGTTCTGTCAGTGATACTCGGCTGTTATTCCCATAGTCAACATAAAACACCTAAAACATTACATTGAATGATTTAATAGGCAATATGCATTATGGTGTCATTTACTACAACTACCAGAATGCTTTGACAACTTTCTTTTGTAATCCAATTAGTGTCAATTGTTTTATTAATCTCCAAGTGGATTAAAAATCTGAATAACAATGAAAATACGCAAGGCTCTCTGGTAGTTGTAGTAAAGTTACGTCATAATGCAAACGGCCTATTCTAATATAATGATGGCTGCATTGTTTCACTCATCAAAGGAATGAATGTAAACATTAGAGCCACTTAAAAATTGAGCCATTTGAAAATCTCTACATGAATAGATACTGACATCCCTATTGTACCTCAATATTCTGCATTGACGTGAAGCCAGTGATCACAGCTCTAAACCAGTCACCAAAATCCTCACACCAGGCACAACAAACCTGCAGCATAAAATAYATCCATTTATCATTAAATTCAATAGCTTTAAAGACTGTATACAGTGATCTTACCTGTCCGACAGAGACCAGCCACTTGGGCATTAGGTATTTATCTCCTTCAGAACTATTATAAAATATGCTGAAATGATAATAAAGTGGTCTCTTTAGTACAACACGTAGAGTTGACATACATATGGGACAATCTAAACCAATCTCAATGAATCTCACTATTTGTTGAGCAAACAATGGGCAAACAAGATACTCTGTATGAACTTCCAAACCATAAAACAATAGAAGTGAAACAATGAAAAAACAGGTTTCAATAGTCTCCTTCACTATTCCCTGCCCATCTTGAAATGTTGCCGTGCCTTTGCATCAAAGCGAGACAACAATTGAGGGTGCAATGATAGAAACCTGTGAAGAATTGTCTGTAGGTATGAAAGAAGGTTTCCATCATTGCACACTCAATGGTTGTCTCGCTTCGATGCAAAGGCATGGTTGCCTTTCAAGATGGCGCAGGTAACCGTGAAGAAGACTTAATAGACCATTTATGAAATTTAAAATCATGGTGCATTGTGGTCTAGCTTCAGTACAAACAGTGCCATATTTGGCAGCATGAACAAAAGATGTTTGTACCAAATCTAGACCACAATGCCATGCAAACTGCTATCTCAGAAAATGTCTATGGGTACTGTATTAATGTGAMAAATGGCATCTTAATCATTAGTGTCCCAAATGGGACAACTATACCTAAGAGTTTTAACTACACCATTACTCCACTATTATGCTGCTAAAGGTAACTTTTTAWGACTATACCTTAGATCTTTGCTCAAAGCTTCTAGTTTAGGCCATTCATCAGTGAACATGACCCAGAAGTTATKAGGATCCACACAGTGAGGGATGTACAAAGTTATGTATCCTGACTCTGGTATGGTTAGTTTTTCAAAGTAAGTTCCCTGTTCTACACCATCATCTATTTGCAGTACCCTACTAGATTGGGTATTATYATTAGATCTGGTGCAGGTTKGGGATTTGTGACTTGRCKTTTGATCTTGTGGTGGCTTTAGAGCTTCTRTTTTATCTAGTACAAAATAAGAACTTCATTGTAAGGCTTAACTTAAATTCCCTTGTATAAATGTTGATAATAATTTCTGSAGTCAATGATTATAGACTAAGGAATGGGGTACTGATAGCATGAGGCAGTGGTTGTGTTTCCTTTGGCAGAATGACAAAWGTCTGAAAGACTTCTTGCCCTTTCCTTCCCTGATTGGTTACATATACTAGGTAAGAATAAACTCTTTTTCTAATTGGCTGTAAAACAAAATCGTAATTTTGTACACCTGATAAAATGCTCACACACTATTTCTCTATTTCTCTCTCTCTTGCCTCCTTGCACATCACCTACAGGTAAACATTGCTTACTTTCAGGTTGAATGAACTTCTGTAAACCATGTAAGAGCCAGTCACCAGTCTTAGTTGGTCTTTCTATTCTAACAATATCTGACATTGCATCGGCCAATTCTACTATAGTTGTGAAGCCATGGTCTTTCATTTTTAACTCTTTGCTAAAATATTTCTATGAAAAATATACAACAAAGAGATTCATAAGATCACATTCTTTTGATAACTATGCATTCACAACAAGATAAAAAATATAATAATGACATATTTCTGGTGTATTTAATGCACCTTATATTCAATTGGWAGACGAGCTGCCCATACACCATTTGGTCTTTTTGATAGTACCTGCATGGACAGATATATTATAATGGATAACATGTACATGTTGACAATTATAGCTTTTTAAAATAGTAAAATGAACAAAATAGAAATAAAAAACAAAAAGATGAATGCACATAAATATGTGGTTGATCAATTTATTGTCCAATAAAAAAAAGAAACATATAGAAAGATAGGTTTGGTGCCATACTGGTAGTGTAAAAAAGTGAATGGATGGGACAAATGTTTGAATGGATAAGGATGATTAACAAAACATACCTGTGCTATTTCATTTTTCAGTTGTTGACTTACACTAGATTGAGAGTCAAGTATCTTTTTGACATGATTTTGTAAGTTCAGTTCATTGGTATTTGATTTAGGAGTGGGTAAAAGTGKYTTTTTTGTACTGCTACTGCAAGATAGTTCTTTTTTAGGTTTTATATCGCATGATAATGTGCTCTTGTTTGGCTGTGAGCTGTATGTCCCTGTAAAAAAAATACACGTTATAAGCAGAGAATCCAACACATTGCAGAATGGATTTGCATTTTTGCACTTTCAAAAAATATGCTGAATTTAAAATATTTCATTGCAGAATGGACTTGCATTTTTGCACTTTCAAAAAATATGCTGAATTCAAAATGTATCTCATTGCTATCAATGATAAAGTAGGTATAGGTGCAGCATAACCTCTACCATTCTGGAAGAGGCTATGGGAAGCACAGAGCATTTCCCTGAAATTTCCTTACCATAAAYTCTGTAGCCACCAAGTTTAATATTTTCAACTTTTACAATATCTGGYATACTTTTAAGTAAGTCTTGGAGYAATGAAAACCCTAGTCTTTTAAAATCAAGGTCCAYATTRAAATGTCTGGAAAATGCCATAAGGAAACTAGATCCCAGCATGCCATTSGGGTAAAATGTCAGTAATTCTTGGATCTTGCCTCGGAKGTAYGGAGGTACACTMGGAGTTTGTAATGGTGTTTTCCGAATGACGTGAGTAGCTCTTCTTTTTGMTGTCTTTCTTTGCTTGGCAACTAGTCTTGCWATGTGTTCACTTGTCTGGTCGGCTATACCTGTTAAAAGACACAAAATTGTATGGGAATGTTTCATAGCTGACACCAATTCATCACTATCAATATCTATTATTACTATTACTAATAACACTTAAATAAATAAACAATGGTATAACCATCATTGCCACTTAAGCTAAGCTTACTGCAATAAATCCCAATTAAACTAAGCTTATAAAAATTACCTCTCAGAATTAACTCTCCCCGAATAAACGTTGGCTGAACGACATCAGGCATTGCCTTGATAAGCYCTATAGGTTCCTTAAAACCCAGTTCTCTATATGGAAAAGGCTTTCCAATAATATTCAAATAGTCATTTTGAATCTCGACAATATTCAGTCCATTTGGTGCTGAAATGAGCAAAGCGCGAACATGGCGYGTTGCTTGCTGCAAAGAAATCGCTTTCTTCTCCTTGTCGGACATGTTTTACCCATTTACATGTCTCTYYACTACTTGCATCGAGCGGATTAATAATAAAAATTGAAAAGATAAAAGTTAAAAGCTAGAAAATGTCTCCTCGCATTCGCCACACGTGATAATACATGTATTTGCCGCCATATGTTTTGGTATCTATGCGCATGTGTAGGAATTTTGTATTTAGGGAAAAAACTATTTTTGAATTTTCTTACTAGATTCTCAGACCAAAGCCATCCAGAGTACCTACTATTCATTTTTAAGGGTGATTTTAATATGATGTATTCGTAATATTGTTATATCTTTGCATATATCAGTCTTAAAACAATTATACTTTATAGTCTCTATTACCCTCCCCTCCCTCAATTACTACAAATGAAACTACGAAAGCACAATAACAACAACAAGATGGCGGCTGTAGACAAGCTCCCTTACGAAGTGCCAACATTCAATAACTGGTCTCAACTGGCAAGGTTTTATCATCCACTACAAGCTGGAAGTATTGATGGTACCGATTTGTAYCCTCACGACAAAGCAATATGGAGGGCCATGCACGCAAAATGTAAGATCAAACAGTCAACATTGTCAAATATACAGACAAAAAGCCTGAACGTTTTCCTTTAATTATTACTTCATTGATGCACAGTTTAGAACTTTATCCAAACTTGACTGTGTGAAGGAGTTTCACAGTGTAAATTTTGTTCTCAAATGTATTGCTTTCTAATGTTATTACTTAATGGCTTTTTATATCCAGATAAACCAAACAAGAAAATCACAGGGAACCCAAAATGCACCTTGTTTGTTGGAAGATTAAATAAAGATACTCTAGAAGGTCAGTCAAATTCTTCATTGTTTAGCTATTTTTTTTTTTTTGCCTGACTGATTTTTTATGTGCAGCTACTGTAGAGAAAAAGTTTGTGAAATATGGAGACATCAAGAAGTGCAGATTGATCAGAGATATTGGTTAGTGCTGTAGTTTTGCATACAATGTTCATACATGTGCGTCTCTACTGATATTATTTTTCACTTTAGAGTACATGTATTTCCAACTTTTTAGGTTGTTTTATTGTAGATTAACATTCATGTTTTTGATTGACAGTTACTGGCTTTTCAAAAGGCTATGCATTTATTGAGTATGAGAATGAAAGAGATGCCAAAATAGCATATCGTGTAAGTAATAAATTAATAATGCAGTATTCATTTCCTGGATGAATTGTATTTATACCTGTGCGAAAAACTGGTAGTGTGCAAAAGCCAACAAACTGRTCTGGAAAACAAGCCCTCCTGGGCCCTCTACTCKGGACAAGATTGAGTTCAGTTGACCAAGATCAGGGTAGAATATGGTCACTTGAACACAAGACTGCAAGCAGGCTGTTTATACAGAAATTAAGAATCTGACGATTTGAGTTCCACTCCAAACCCTTGTATATTTTCAAGAACCATTGTTTACCCTTAATAATATTCAGTCTTTGCTCTGGAGATCATTCAGATCTTCGGTTTAGATTCACTTAATAATTGCATCCACAATGAAAGGATAGTGGAGTTCATTGCATTGCAATACGTGTGGGAAGAGCTCATCTTATTTTGATTACTGTACTTGCAGGAGATGCATAAAGCSGACATTGATGGTAGAGASATCCTAGTTGAGTATGAACTTGAAAGAAATCTTGAAGGTTGGATACCCAGAAGATTAGGTACACAAACRGAAGCTTTTGTTTGCTTGTTTATTTGTTGTCATTCTCATTGCCATGTATGGAGTAAGATTATCTTGATTTTATATTGATTATGGTGTACATAGTGTAATTCAATATCTCTCTGAATGTAGGTGGAGGTTTTGGAGGTCAGAAAGAGTCTGGTCAGTTGCGGTTTGGAGGCAGAGATAGAGGATTTAAGAGGCCGTTGTAAGTTTTTCTGTAGATAATGATGATGAAAAAAATTTCATAATTTTTGCAAAGATTGTAAACTTCTTGTGTAGCCTCCACAAGCAGACGTTCTTAGCAGTAAAGGCTAAGAACATCTGCTAACAGAAGCTACTTCTAGTGGGGATGCATTTAGGTTTGGGTAATTTGTAGTTTTATTGTAATTATGATATGGTTGATTATGAAAGTGTTGTGATTATGATTAAGATGATGTTGATGATGATGATGACACAGGCATTCTTATTTAGCACAGAAAATGGTTATGGGTTGTGCCATCCTGGTTAACCCCTAAATGATACATACATTATCAATGAATTAATAAAATAAAATAAAATAATATTATTAATATTGACGTTTGCTTCTTTTTTCAATAGACCAGTGCAAGCGTTGGGACAAGGAAACAGATTTTCAGAAAACACAGAAAGAACAGATAATAATAGAGATAACAGGGAACGTAGCTGGGGGCGTGACCGTGATCGCGGACAATATCGAGATAGATATCGAGATCGCGATCGCGATTCCGGGCGCGATCGTAATCGCAATCGTGAAAAACATCGCGAACGAGATCGTGATCGTGATCGCAGTCGCCATCGTGAYCGGGACACAAACGATGATCGTCTTAGAAATGACAGTCCACGCCAAGACCGATATCTCGACGAAGGCAGCAACCGAAGCACCGACGATAATCCGAGGGGATCCGACAAAGAACGACATAAAGATCGCCACAGAGAAAGATCGCGATGGAATGATGACTATAAAAGTAAAGACAGAGGTACATTGTTATTTACTGATGGCGCGCTAACTATTTGGGTAAAAGKTTTTTTTATATGTTCAAACAAGAGTGAAATGTYTAGCTTGTTGCGCAATTATAACACAACACCCACAAAAACAAAGCTTTACACTTATTTCAGTGTGTCTAATATTTTCTCGATTTCAGAACGACGTCAAAAGAAATGACAACTTCGTTCAACTTCGGACAAGGAAATATTCCAAAGATTGGATGTTATATAAGTGATATTTATTTTTTGAAACTTAATAAATTTTGAATTATCATTGATATGTGGTTCTTGTTGATTTAGGCTTCTTTTCTCGTTAGTTTATTTCCTTTCTTTCATTCTCTTTCTTTCTTGTTGCGAGCTGCTGGATGGGATACCTGTGGACCACTCTGTTTGTGTTGATACAACTTTAATTGTGGATATGATTTGCTTTATTAAATGCGTCAATCATCCATGAAGTATTATAAGCAATTTTCTAAAGCTTTTAAGAGGTTTATAAACAAATGCCAGCAGGAACAGTTTGATTGGATAAGGTTTGTGACGGAGCCGCCGCTGTGGTTTCCGAAAGCCACCGAGCATATCCTCGGGCGTCCGATAAGTATTCGTATAGTTTTCGGTGTGTGATTTTCATGCGCCGATCGCACCGGTGAATTTGKCATTCTTGTCGTTCAAACAACGCTTCGAGTTCTTGTAGCCATGGTTCTCTTCAAACTTCTCAAGAATTTGAATATCACTTGATTCATGTGACAGCAACATTATTTATTGTGAGTATCTTAATAGTATAAACAGTTCACCGATTATCGGCGGCGAATTTGTGGAAAAATTCAAATATGGGCACTGTCTTRCCGCCCTGGAAGCTTGAACTGATCGAGAAGAAAAAAAAGAGGCTTGAGCAAGAGAAGGCCAAAGAAAAAGAAAAGATTGATAGATACAGTAGTATACCGGAATGGAAAAGGAGTATTTTATCTAAGAGGAAAGGTACACAATCTAACGAAGASCCTTTCAGCTTTGTAGCTCACAACGACAGCAAACCGAACACAAACCTTGAGAATGATCAAATTCAAAACACTTCTCCTAYCTACAGGAAAATCTCTCGGCAAAGTTCTAGTGAGGGACGTGTGATACAGCCTGATATTAGTTCGTCTAACGAGATACGAGATCCCAAAGAAATATTTAAGAATGGCGATGGAGAAGGACATTCCTTCGTCGCCAATGGTGTATCACAATCCGATAAACAAAGGCAAGACCAACGCAGTAAATTGTCAAACCATGCCAGACATGAATCCGACTCGGAGGAAGACGAAGGGAGAGTATTATATGAGCATATAAAAACTCCTTCTGAGCTTAAAAGATTGTATGAATTACGAGTGGCTAAAAGGAAGGCACTTGAGGAAGCGCAAAACAAAGATACTCCAAGCTCAACGCGTACAAAATCTTTGAATGACAGCCAAAGAATTCGAGAGGAAAACGTAAGTCAWCTAAACAGCGAAATACCAGACAAGGGAAAGGTATCTACRGACGTGGARCTCAACGGCGYTTTAGCACAAGAAGAAATTGTAAAGGAAACACAGAAAATAAAGTTAGCTGAAGAGCAATCACTCCAAGATGGCATTCCACCTGCTACMAGTGAGATCAATCAAGGACATGCAATTGATAGCAACAATAAACACGATAAAAAAGAATTRCAAAATGGTGGGGATACTTCATCAGAAATACATGTTGAGGTTATYAGAAGCAAATTTGGACCATCTGGTTCTTTTCGCCGTCGAAGTTCCTCAACTGATAATTTGTTGTCAAAGTCAAGTCCTGACCATACCACCCCAACAGGGAGCCCTAAGCCTAGACCATCTCCACTCAACAAGCGRTGGTCTATGATTTCAYTGCCAAAAGCAARTGATARCAGTGATGATCAWGGTTCCTTGARYAGGGCTAGGTCTTTGAGTGATGTACWKAATGAACCACCACAGCCTGATCCTGTCTATCTGCGACACAGAGCAAGTGTTTCACATGATATTGAGCATCGAATTCATGAATTACTTCACCATGTGTCTGTGTTTGATGGYAATACAAGTGATGAGTGGGATGARGATGAAATGCTCTCAAARCAGAAACAACCACAAAATCMAGTACCTAAAAAWGATGAAGAACCAACTAGAGAAAGAAGAGCATCGTGGTTTTCTTCTGAACAAGTTGCCAAACCCACAGAATCCAWTCATATTTCTTACTTACCACAAGGTGAAAAGTCATTACCTTCAGTAAATGAGGCAAAATCTAATCATGGAAAAACAGATCATTCTTTGGAGGAAAGAAATGAMGTTTCTAGCCAAAAACCTACTAATACTCTTCTCAATTTAATTAAACAAGATCAACAGAMCAAAGAGAAAGAAATTATTGTTCATACTGCAGAAAATCATGAAAGTTTTAATGCAGATCTTCATGASTCAGACATGAATGTAAATAATGAATCAGCTGACRATCGAAATTCAAAAGGACCATCAGTTCATAAACTCAGTGCTCTCTTTGGTTCTAGTATCTTAAAAGGAAAYAAAAAATCAAAGGTAAATAAAAATGCTGMAGTAAAAAAGACAACCACACAGGAAACCAAGTCTGACAACAAGAGTGATTCTAAAGGAACTTCAAGGAAATTCCCATGGATGAAAAAGAATACYAATAATGACACATCAGTCAACAGCACTTCTAATTCMGAAGRATCAAATTTCCTTTTCAAAGGTGCTCAAAAKCTTAAACCTGTGCAGAACAGGTATTCTGAGCAAAAAATGCCAGGTAATGTGGCTATGGTGATTGGTGGTGGTTCAAAAAATAACACRACTTAYAATAAYGTTAAGAAGCCAGCCCCTTATTCCAAAACTCCACCAGTTAACAATAAGAACATTACTCCTYCATCTAAACATGCCCCAAAGAAGACATCGAYTGATTATGAAGACGAGTACATAACTGTCATTGATGTTCCTGATACAAGCTCTCATGATATTCAAGTATCGGCAATTGACATTCCTGAAGCTTCATCCCYGACACCAGTGTCKGTCATTGATATGCCAGAGTCAAAGGACAGTGGATTWAAAGTGTCAGTCATCGATATGCCACAAGATTCCGATTCTGATAGTGATTCTGAGACGTCAGGCAGCTATGAGGTGAATCCCAGTGTGTTTACATTTCAAACAGACAGCTCGGAAAGCAGAGATGATGACGATGAGGAAGAAGACATTGACAATGTGCCTGTGTCGTATTATGGGGATTCAACTTACATGACAGTTCCTGAAATCATTTTTGAAACAGMGCGGGAAGAAGTGAAGTCAATCTTGAGTAGTCCACTGAGAAAAAGAAAGGTAAAAATAYCTGTAATTGACTACTATAAGTTTAGCCCTTTGAATTTCATGTTGARGTTCATTATAGCCATTTCATCAATGGATTTCACATGTGTAGAGTTCAATGCAAATAAGATGATAGCTAAATAGAAACTTCTGTATTTTTAGTAATTTTTGCACATGTTAGATGTWCAGCATTATTTTGAAACAATCCTTTTTGGAAAATTAATTTTTTTGTCTGATGAAAAGCCAGTTAATCTTAAGTTTGTAGCCCTGTTTGTCCAAAGTCTGGCCCAGTAACAATAGAGCATAATTATTCCAATGAGGAGGGTTGTTGATTTATACATTCAGTTATTAGGAAGACAATCCTAGAAGGTGATTCAAATTTTTAGTATATTGTTTGAAAAAGCTGCCATTCTTTGAAAAATGTTGTTAAAACTTAAAAAAACTACTTTATTAAAAGGCTTAATCAATATCTGTTTTCTTCTGATGTAGAAATCTATTAATACATGATATTTCCCCATTTCAATTTTCAAATCTAAAAGTACAAACATTTTGCATTCTGTATTTCCACAGAGAAAGAACAAAGTGGTCTTCCATCCAGACAAACTAGAGAAGATCCATGATTATCCATCAGAAATATGTCTACAATCACACTACGATCAAATGATGAAGGAACAAGGTGGTCTAAGTAGCTACAAACCGTCTTCTTTACAAAATGTTAATCTATCGATAGAATCTCTGAAGCCTGTAATACAGACAGACCAGAACTCTAACCWCAAGGTGAACGACTCGGTTAAAGTTTCATATTCAGATGATGGAGAGGGATTTAGCACTTCGAGTAGCTCAAGTGGGGCATTACTTTTCTAGACTAGGAAATTAGAATTACACAGCAGTGGTTAAGTGTKAAAATTATAATATTTTACACTGTAAAATTATGATGAAAAAAATGATGTTTTAGACTTTGATTCTTTCTCTTAAGAAACAACATCTAAAATATCATATTATTTATTAGTTTATCAGAACTATTTTATTAGAAACATCACTGCAGCTATACCTCACAGTCTTAATTACAATTATATTTGTTTATGGATTAAAACTAACGCTAATGTTTTTCATCTGTGTGCAAATTATATGCTAGCAATCAAGGTATATGCCATATATCTGTGAAACAACTRCATGTAGAACACACCTCTAGTGCATTTTTGAAATATTATTTTCATAGYAGTGACTAATGGAGTGAAACATTGGTTAATAATGAGAGCATGGTAATTAGTCATCTTGGTATTATTTATGCATGCCTCAGTGAATTCTTAGTTTGTAGATGTAAATCCAATAGTTGATACCTAAACAATATTTCACATGACACAAGAACTTGTTGCTTCACAGTTTTATGGCATTTCTATAAAAAAAATAATTTTTTTTTGAAAATATCAGAGTTCTACTTATTGYTTTCAAAATATCTAAAAAGTATCTGATATGAAGAAAGAATGTGTTATGGGTGTGTGGTTATGTTAAAGCAATGTAGAATAATACTGTCTGTTACTTTGGGGTTGGTTGTACATTGTACAAAATTTGAGTAGTGCTATCCTAGGACCAAATAACCTTAATATAAATCCATGCAAAATCTAATATGTTGTAGGTAACTTTATCCACCTTTTGTACAACCAGCTCTGTTGTCAACATTCCTAACAAGTCTATTCAATCACAYGGAGTGACATAAAAAGAGAATCATTAAAAATTATTGTATTTAAAACATCTGTAAATATACACCTTAAGATAGCTAAGATATTATAAAATGTGCTTGAACTAACGAAGATTGGAATGGTGCTTTTAAATTATTGTCAGTGTAACTTGGCAAGTTGCTTGAGCAATAAGGATGCATGCTGTCAGYTATGCAGTGTATTCTATACTGTCATGGAATGTGAGGTTATTCCTTCAGGCAAAGAGTTGTAGCGTGTTAATACTCGAAGTGATAGAAATTATTCTGTTGTCTAGTTTATATAAGCTTCAAATCCCTGGTKTAGCATGTAGTCTTTGTGTCAATATCTAGTGCAAACATTGCCAAAAAATGACTRTATGATGTATAGTCTATGACAATTACCTTTTGACCAAGAACTAAATTCTCATTGATATATACTGATATTATAAATGAGAATTTGGAATTTGATCAGTGGTCACTTTGAATAAAGAACAGTGCATGGCTCATTTATCAATACAGATAGACACTTACCCATTATAATAAGATTGTAAATTCACTGATGGTCATATTTTGATAAAAATTATAACAAACTATTATTCTTAGAGCTATTTTTAGTAGTTTTTGCTGCTAGGTTTTCTCTTCACAGACAGGCCATAATCTTAAAATATGAATAGATTAAAATTTAACTTGAGAAATAGCATAGCAATAGCTGAACCATTGAAAATCACACTAGAGATTTCAAATGCCTTGTTATATGTCAAAGCAATAAGTGCAAACATCAGCATTCAGAGAGTAAAGTAGTTATTTCTTCATCTTCATTTTATAGTTGGTAAAGCCATTTATAGTGTGTTTATTTATTAATGATAAATGCCGTGTAAATTATTGAAGTGTGCATTGGTAGATAAAATTCATTTACTAGATAGCTTTATAATATAACAAAGAAATAAAATAWCAAAAAACAGCCAATGTTTTGAATGGTGAGAACCCTTGCTTGTTGACACTTTTCACTTGAAACTTTTGTGTGATGTTTTTCATGCTGTCAATCAAAAACAGCCAATCACATTATGCAATTTCATCTCTAGTCAAAAAATTGCACAATAATTTTTGACTGATACGAAAGAGTGGTCAACTTCTAGCAAGTCTTGTGTGTGTGCAGATATGAAAATCATACTCATTGTCACCATTACAAGGGTTTTCAYTGGAAATTAAGATAGAAATGCATGGAGTTATATTATTTTTGTGTGCATATAATATTATTTCATGTATTATTTAATATTTAATAGTGCTTTATGGAGTAAAGTGTGACTAGTATTTAAAATCATTACAAAAGAAGTGTTTCTCAAAAATTCYAATAAAATATTTTTCACTCACAGCCGAGYCTGAACAAATCCATTTTTATTTATTTTAAACATTTTAATTTTTTGTTTGATTTTGTTCTTGTTTTGTGTTGCTATCTTTGTTAAAATTATAGTATAATATTTAAGGAAGTTGCTTGTTTTCTTCTGTTATGTCTGTGTGGTTCTTCATGGGATGGGATGTCCCATGGGATGAGCTGTAGCATGCTAAGTGTTACTTATCWCTATCATAGGTTTATGAAAAACTCTTGATCTCCACAAATTGTAAAATATGTTTTACAATACATATTAGTTTGACCAAGAAAACAATATGTTGTACATTATAGTACATTGTTA